GCGGCCCCCCCCGCGGCCACCCCGCCCCTCCCGCCCCTGCCGTGGCCGCCCCCGCCCCTCCCAACTCCACCGTGACCCCTCCCCCGGCCCCCGCGGCCGCCGCTCCTGTCCCGGCCCCCGCGGCCGCCCCGCCCCCCCCACTGGCCGTGGGGCTCGTGCCCGCCCTGGCTCCCCCCGAAAACCCTCTAATAGCAGCGGCTGTTGCTACTTTCGCTGGCTTCCTACAAAGCGGCTTCGCCGCGTTTCTACAAACGCTCGACCCGGCACTCGCAGCCGCTGCCTTGCCGCCGCTGCCCATGCCGGGAGGGCGCGTGGCCACGCCCCCAATCCCGGACGTGCGGAAGGAAGCACCGGGAATCCCGGTGCGCCCACCCCAGCCCGAGCCCCGGCCGTGGGGGGACACCCCGGGGCCCTGCGTCGCGACCCCGCCACCCCCCGCCCCCCGGCAACCCCCCGCAGTGCGGGCCCAACCCCAGAGAGCTCCGGCGGGGCGGCAGACGCGGCCGCCATCTTGGTTCAGCCGGCGGAACACGTGGTGCGCCCCGCGCATGTGCGGTTCGCGGTGCCCCCGGTCCGGCCAGTCCCCGTCGCCTCTGCCGTGCCGCCGATAGAGCCTGCCACTCCCGCCGCGCCCCGTGCCGCGACCCCACCACCCCCCGCCCCCCGGCAACCCCCCCGCGGTGCGGGCCCAACATCAGACGGCTCTGGCGGGGCGGCAGACGCGGCCGCCATGTTGGCTCAGCCGGTGGAACACGTGACGCGCGCCACGCATGCGCGGTTCGCGGTGCCCCCGGTCCGGCCAGTTCCTGCCGCCTCTGCCGCGCTGCCGATGGAGCCTGCTGATCCCCACGCACCCCGTGCTGCGATGTGTGATCAACCAGAACCCCCGAGCTCAGCGGTGGCGCCGGCAGGACCCCCGGGGCCGCCAGAAGGAGTTCCACCGCCACTGCCGCGGCCGGGAATCGCCGAGTCACTTCCGGGTTCGCCGCTAAGTCCCTCCGCGCCAGATACTCGCCCGGAACTCTCTCCAGCCGCGCAACAAATAGTTCCCCTCACACCACCGCCCCCGCCACCCCTGGATGCCTCTGCCCTAGGGCCACCAGCAGCTTCTCTGAAACCACAGCCTACAAACCCCACAAACTCCCCAGCCAGTGTGCCGGCAAGATTTGATGATTCTGCAGCCTCAGCTTGGAGAGATCCCTCCTCATCCTCAGGTTTCTCCCATGAGCCTTTGCTGACAGTCTCCACTCCTGCCCCTCTGCCCCAGCTGTTGGCAGCTGCTGCATCTGACTTACAGCTTAGCATGCAGCCAGGGAAAGAGGAACAGCACCTGCCAGCTGTTTTGACGAGTACAGGATCCACGGAGAACTGTGCTACCCCTACCAATACCACCCCTGCTGCCTCAGTTTCCCAGGATGCTCAGGGGATCATTGATGGCCTCCAACTGATGGACAGGCATATATCCAAGCCTCATAGTCCCAGAGAGTGGACAGCTGTCCCATCTCTGGACGAGAGAGAATTCCTAGTAGCGGCAGGAGATAGTTGCTTCCCTTTCTCCTATGGTTACCAGCTGTTGGGGGGTACCATGGAAAAGACATCTGAGGCCCTAGAAAATAGCTTATTAAAACAGAAGAGGGGAATATATCAGGCCACACCCCAAAATAGGTTCAGCAAAGCCCCATACGCATACAATTTTTCAAATTGCTGTATAGGACAGCCTGACATCCCCATTTACAGACACTTTCTGAACAACAAAAAAGTAAAAATAAAAGTCTTAATCAAGACCTCAGTCACAGGACAAATAGAAAGCCCATGCAACCTTGTAACATGGGAGAGAGGGTTTGCTTGTGTCTCTACAGGCGAAGGACTCAGATGGATCCCGGCAAAGAATGTAAGGCCTTACCATACACCGAAATCTGGCAGTGCCCTCACCAATGGCAATGACTTTGCAGGTGCAAACCAAGAAGCAAGTGCTCAGATTTGAACTGTGCTAAGACGAGATGAAAACTACATGCCAAAAACAACTCAAGGCTATGGACATTTGTTTTCACATGCATGTTACTTTTGTACCCTTGTTGTTACATTTGTTCTCTTATTTCAAATTTTTGTATTGAAGTTTCACCTATAGGTTAACCAAAGACAAATGCCTGGGTTACTCTGGCCAAGACTGCAAGCTCTGATACCATATCTCTAACTGATACAAAGCTCTAATAGACTTTTTCAACCTAGTCAATTATAGAACCTTCCCCAAAAGGTTTTAATAACACTACCTCAGTTAAATTCTTCCATTAGACTAAAACAGTCAAAAGGTTAAAATGCACAATCAGTAAAGAAATAAACACCACCTCAATTACAATTAATAATCTAGCTAAACAGTTTATCTGAAGGTTTGAGCTCTGCATCTTGGCTGAAGGAACTCTGTAAAGTAAGCTTGATTTTTTTAAGAATAATAAGTGTAGTTTCATTAGCAATATGTTATGTACCCCAAGTTGTGCAAAAACAGTAATTAAGTCTGTATTTACCTTTTCAAAAGTTTAACGAAAAGGGGCAATTGTTGCAGAGGATAGATAAATATGATTGTTATCTTAGCTAGCCGAATGTCACTTCTACCCTTGGATGAATCCTGGAGTGAAATGGACTGTTCCATCCCACCCCGCAAGAGATTGTGGTTCATCCTGCACCTCTGTACCTGCCCCTAAAACAGAGTCTGTAACCCCATTGGCCCATGCCTTGTCCCAGTCCACCTGGGAG